GCTCTTTAGCTCCTAACATCTACAAGCCTACTCGGCTTCCTATCAAGATGCTTGCCCACAGGCTCTACAGAAATTCGTGAAACATCTTACAAGCCAGCGTATCCTCCAGGTTCTAATCTTCCAGATCTTTGAAGCCACTTCTCACTGAAATATCACTTATACACTTCACGATAATCTTTTTATCTAAGTACTATCATACTCGATTTAATCTTAACTACCTAGGCATTTAATAAAGCCAAAATTTACTCTTTTTTCCGTATCCTTAGCTCTCTTAATGTCTGGTTGCTCTGATGGAATGTAACACGACAACAGCACCAATGTTTGAACGAAGCTATATTTCCATCGAAAATGTCTTAGTTTCCATGGTAGACTAATATCGTTAGCACTAAACATTGCGGATGTATGTCGTCATCCCAAGGACTCCATATCCCCTTGTCTTATTTATCTTGTCAAATGTGCTTTCAATGATGTATTATCCATAGTTGTATGTCACGCAATTTTGCAGCCTTTTGGGACGTTCTTCACTTCCTAAAATAGCCTTAAATAACGTGGGGGCATAGCACTTACTGAAATACGGGCTGCTAATTGGTTGACCATAACTATCAGCAAGCAGCGGCACGAAATGTGGGTTGGCGCTCAACCTTGATGGCGACTTGAATGAAGGGCTTACAATTTAACATTTATACGAACCAGTTCCTACTATTTGTACTTGAAAATTGCCATTTAGACTTTTGGGGAAGTCCTAATTTATGATACTTCACTATTATAATTCATAACATATCTGATCGCGCCTGTAGAAGTGGCATGCATCTCGCGCGAAAATACCTGTTTATACGAGATATAAATTGATATTGTAAAGTGACTACATGGTGATGCTGAGGACGAAATGCTGGGAGCAAGATGCACACCATTGGTTATTCTGGGTAACGAGGAGTGGCAATTTTGACATAACAAATTGGCCTGGTTAACCACCTGAGCTAGACTTTGAGGTTGCTGTTGAATATGAAGAAGAAACACGATGTCAGAGACGACTAAGTGCATCTAGGTCGCGATTTGACTTCGCCTAGTTGACAGAGTAATAGTGTTGACATCAGGTCAGATCACTGTACTGTGAGATGATGGACGGGGAGTGTCTTGAGTATTTTTGAGTTGGGACATCAACAGATCAGTTGCTGGAGCATGACTCGAAACCACGGGAAGGATATCTCCCAACCCATGTCATTGATCCATTCTTGCCATCACCGTAAGTGTCGGAGTAGGTGCGGCAGATTGACCACTTTGCAGGAGATTTCTCCAACTGCAAGGCTGAAGACTCATGTGATGAAATAAATAGATTGCTATACCACTGTCAAACTGACAAGGTGATGTAAAAATTGGTTTTAGTGCAACCTGTCCATGATCCAAATCATTCATGAAGTAGTTGAGTCAGTCACGAAAGTTTACTGAAATAGGCAACTAGTGTCAGTGATGAGGCTGTCAACAATACCTCCAGCATATGCGGTTGACTGTTTCAGTATGACCTAGTGCCGTGTCGTATAACGGTTGAATTTCTGATGCAACACATGTGTGGCTGCCGGGATAAGTGAACGTTGTTTTGTGATGGTATATCTGTGGAAACCTATTTACGCATATGGCAGTTACGTGTCTGCATTGCTGTTTCAAAATGAGAGAAGATAGATCGGTCGTCTCATTCAGTCTAATAAGCATAGTCGCCAGAAGTACAGAACGAAACAAACTTAATGTCTGAGAGCATATTATATGAAAATATAAAATTATTATTATGATATGGATGTGTGAACGATACGATAACGATTGTACTAAGGCATTTTCGCCATCCAAGCAGATTGCAGGCACTACTTATTTCAAAGTTGCACAGAAGCACTATCAAAGTACCATCTGTGTGGCGTTAGTCAGCAGCAAACTTCACCACTTATGAAATCAGGACTTTTCATTCAGGTTACCAAGAAGTGAACAGGGACTAGGACTCAGTCCATCACAGCCTAATGAAGAAATCTATGAGGTTGGTTATCTTCTCGAGTCAGATTTGTGAGATATCTGAACGGTTCAAATGCATCTTCAACAAATACGCAAGTCTATTCGCCATAACTCACTCCAAAAGACTTAATTATATGCAAGAGTGCAATAAATTGTTCACTCGGAACCACTAACATCATTCAGAGATATGGCTCAAACGATCTGGCACAATGTACGTAACGCGATGAAGATTAAAGCATGCGTATATCATGCCCCAAAGAGGATAAACTGGTCAAAACCACACGACGCGAATGATGCTTGATAAAAAGCGAGAAAAACAATTCGATATTGCGAAATGTGGATCAGCGTTGTCCGATCAAGACTTTGCCCACCTATCTGTAAATTAAAATCTGTAATTGTTCAGGCGCCACCGAAGAGAACACGACAGTGGGTTGAATGTGTGGTTGTCACCCGTGGCGTGTCACTAAAACAGTGAATTCCAGCACACAATGCAGCTGCTGCCACTGCTACTTCGTAGAATACCTGTTTTCCGATTGAGAAATACCGGTGAAAGAAACCTAGCAGGGAGGTTGCGCTAACCTGGGCGGTAAACATTTCCTAGGAGAGAATGGCAGTGTATAGAAATGTAAGACTCCTGAGTTTCTTCTTATTAATTTGAAGCTGAAAACTGGAATTCCACCGACTGTTTTACTGACGGCTAAATTGGCTTTCTGTTCTTGTGTTAAATTAGACATATATGCTAACTAATGTGAAGGATTTTTATACTTTGCACCTAAACATCGAATTGTTTTAACTTATCGAGAGAGGGCGTACAAACTGTGTTGGGGCGCTTTGATATTTCGAAGATCCCTGTCAGACGCTTACCTTTTGTTTGTCCTAGTCTGTTGACTTCGGTCGTCTACACTAAGCCAACGTATTTCATCAAGACGGTTGACTCACCACTCAAGTGGTTTGTCATCGTTTATCGCCTTGACGACTGATTTTCTCTGTTGCGCAACATAATTTGATCTTGGACAAATATTTGTTCCCACAAACCTCCTGATTATTCGCTAGCCCAAACTTAAGAGCTAAAACTATGGAAGTAAGTGAAAACAAAGTGAAGTGTCTACAACAATGGGTGAAATTCATCATCCCGGGAAACAAGAACTTAGATATTGGGGAGTGGCGAACCCTATTGGAACTGATTGATTTGGCGTAAGCAGTAGTATTCAGCTTTTTACCGATATGTTTTTGTCTGTTTTATGTGCATTTGACGTGGGCTTGTGGTTTTCGCTGAATTCTTCGCTTTGCTTTGAGTCGTGCCCGAATGCTGCTGTGAGCTAGCTCCTAGTAGGTAATATGGTGACATTATTATTTCGCCAGCTTTTGTCTAGAAGTTGAACAGTAAATAAAGCGACTGACATCAGCGCATAAGGATGACATTGAAAGCATGACTCGTGCTGGGTGATAAGTTAGGAGAAGTTGGTTTGATTCGGTGATGCGACTACGCTAATCAACTTAGGCATGTTTTCTTATTGCACTTAGTGTATCACACTGATTGTGACTCAAGGCTTCATTTGAGGTGCACTTATCGTCTGACAGAATGATGCATTCGATTTTGAATGTTTCTTACTGTCTTTATTGATTTTATTAGTAACAATTTCTATGCATAAGGGATAGAAAAATTTGATCCAGTCATTTTGACTTCAACTCTACGTACTTAGAGAACCACTTTCTTGAGCTGTTCACAGAAGCATTGGTGGGTGATTTGTGTACACGTGAATATGACTTCATGCTGACAGCTTATAATGCTTAGAAAGCGAGACTGCCAGGATATAGTTTCCTTAAAATTCGAAAACCATCATCTGCCTAGAGAATTTGTGAATTCATGTCCGATAATGAATAACTGTGTGTAATACGTACAATAGTAAGACTTGCATCCATTTGGCAGTGGGAGTTCGTCATGATTTGTTTCTTGTTCTCATTACATTTAGCCATAAGTTATATTCATACGTGAAGCAATAAATAGATAATTATTCGGCATGTTGGATGCTAATCGACCATGTTTGTTTCGGAAGTGTTTTCAAATAGAAATGAGATAGGGATTGGATTAGAAATTGCACGTCACCTACAGCTCTAATTCACCGTAAACATGCCAGCCTTTTGCTATGAAAGTTCCGTGGTTGTTACCAAAGTTGTCATTTAATATTATGTATGCAGTATTTATATGCAGACTTGAAAGTCCGGAATATTGACTTTAAAGCAGATGTCTAACTGATATCGTGATTGGGATGTTATTCGCTGACTATAGTGTATGCATGAATATGATACAGATGATGAAGTCAACTACTCTGTTTGCATTTTGTATCACACATAGGAAGGATTCCGATTTCTGCCGTAGAGAGGAGATCGAAAGCATACCACAGACGGTGTACAGCATTTTGTCAGGTATGTTTCTTGGATTAGTAGTAAGAATGTTTCAGAGTTCTATTCCGTTGACGTAAACACGGTTATTCCGGAGAAGAGTGAAGAAAATCGTCCACCGATGTACACGCACTACTGTGTAAGTCTTATGAATATGTCACTATTGTGTAGCTTTTATTGTTGGTCCTGACTATGGGACTGCGTCTGAAACCCGAATTATTTATGAACGCAGCCTTCCAGCTTCCTAGCACGATGCATTATTACATTGTTGAAATGACTCGACCTCTGATCGAAGATTGCCCCATATCAGTGTCTTCTTTCGAGGCTCTATGTTGTGGCTCGGAGAATCAGCCAGTTACACCAATCCGTCAAACCAAGTCTCTTAAGGGTAAGTTTCGTTTGTTAATAAGGTTTTGTTAGTTCCTCTGACTTGCCCTGCCTTCTCAAGAGTCCCATCGTTACCGTTTGGACACAAGGAGAAAACAATGGTTAATTCCAAAGTGTCATTTGATGATTTTCATAGCGAGAATGAAGGCTCTTACAAATCAACTGGCCATTCGATTTATTTGTCTCCAGGAAAGTGTTTTTATTCTAGTTGTGACATGGAGAAAGTGAAAAGTTTTGTGACAAAGGCTGACTTTGGATCAGAAATCGACTCACCACTGTATTGTCTGAAGTCAATTTTAGAATCACCACAGGTCGTTCCCAAGGTAAGCGAATGTTGTCCAGTGTGTTTGCAGTGCAAATGTTACAGTACGTTTTCGTCAGGTGTTTAACGTCTACGGCGAAGGTAGAGGATGTGTTAAGGAATTATTGTGAAGTGGTTTCAGTGGGATAAAGCAAGCGTATGACATAAAGTGTATTCAGCGAGTTGAAGATATTAGTGCATTGTGTAGAAAATGTGAAGTTGATATACAGTGGTGTATTTAGACTACTTATCAGCTGATTGTACAGGTCATGCATTTTCTAATGTGTACTAATATTAAAAACCGATGAGTTTTAACGGTTTTTTGAGGAAATCATGATGGAGTTTGTCAGTTATGATGTTCATTTGAGTCATTTTCTCGATGAACCTACCAACACCTAATTTAATCGTATGAGAAAAAGGAAGCAGAATGAAGCCTTAGTCTTTTGAATTTACCACCTGGAGTAATTTGAAATCACATAACTTGAGGTTTATAGCTCTTTGTGAAGGTCAACGGAGAAGTGTACAATATCTGACAAATCGCTCCCATGTCTTCTCTCGACTATGAAACGCTGCAAAATGATGAAAGTAGGATGGAAGGTTGTAATTGCGTGGGGCTAGAGATACTTTCTAGCTGACTTGTTATACTTATTAGCGTTGGGTTTCCATGTGCACATTCGCATAAATAAATAAACTTTTGAAGGGTTATCATTTCTCGAATTGTAGTAGATAATTGAAGTACATATATAAATTAGTAATCAATTTTTGTTGTCTGCAGTCTAAACATGAAAAGTAAAAGTAAAATAAGGACATAAATAGATACATCTAAATTGATGAGGAGGTTAGTGTGAGAGTTACTATTGATTTACACTTGTATACCTTTTACCTAGGGTCAATTTCTATCTAAACTGGATGAAATACGAAGTTTGTCTTCAAAACTCTCGGAGATCCAGCATTTGTATGAAGACAATACATGCGAATTAAATCGCCTAAATTCGGAGCTAAAGGCTTCGGAAATGAAAAGAAGAGAGATTGAGGTGCGTCTGAAGCGACGTGAAGCAGAGTTGCGGGAATTACGTGACGAGTTGACGTGTGAGATTGAAATGCGTTCACGTCATGAAAAGCGGTCGAATCTTGTTGATGAGTAAGTTGTAATTTATGCATACATATGCAGTTGTATTATGTTTAAAAGCATGATCATGCTCAGCGTCATTTATATATAGACTTCTAGTGGGATTTGAAAATTTCTGACTGAGAATGAGTCTGAACATAGAAGTTAGTAGAGAAGTGCAGCATTTTAAGTTGCTACATTGCATGTAGTACACCGAAGTAGACGACAGAGATAGAAGAGAAGGGTTCAAAGTAGTTTACTAACTAGGAATGTTAGGGAGAACATGACAGTTTGGTGGATATGGGTGATGACAGGGTGTACGTGCATCTGCTCTATTGAGAACGATTTTGAGCCATATCACCAATTGCCTCGAGTCATTGGTTCATAGCATCCCGAGGACACCAACCAAACAGCGTACGTTTCCCTCCCGACATAGCTGAAACTACTTGTCAAAGATTGCATGGAATGATGTGAGGTTTTGGTTTGGCCACCTCAAACTGCTTCCCAACTGAATCATATGTCGGTTAACATTGCTCGTTGAGGAAGGCGATAACTCGGAATGTGCAACACGTGTCCTGGTCATATCGATTGGTTCACCTTCACAGCCTCATCGTTCGACTCTCCCTCCTTACCTAGCAGTTCGCTTAACCTGAATATCGTTCACCATATAATGGGATTTAAGATGGGAGATAGGACGCAGACGCTTATGATTGGAGACAGGTAGGATTTTTATGTCTTCCATTTTCAGTGGCCATGCCTTGTGACGGTAAAGGAGGACGGAGCGAACTGCTGCTGGGCAGTACACACGTGCTTTGATCAGTAGCCAAATATCCTGTCTACACGAGAGACAACGTATGTTGGCAAATCCCACACGAGCCTTTTGTATGTGTGATGAGATTCCGTTGGCAATCATTAATGCATTGTGGCTGATGCAACTTCCCAAATAAGTGAAGTATTCACCAGGCTCTAGCACTCGATTCCCCGGGTATCTTTGTGCGAGGAGTTGGTTGAATCCATTCCTGCTCCATTATCTTACATTTGATAGGAGCAAATTGCATGCGAAACATTCGAAGACTTCTGGTCAAGGTATTGAGAAGACTGTTGATTTTATCAGTATCTGCATGTAGGAGGACTATATCATCTGCATAGTCTGAGTTGACAGGACTGTTCGTTGATACCAAGTCAATCCGTAAGTCGCTGAAGTGAAATAGGGTGGACTGCATCAATACATGTAAGGTGTAACTAGAGAGAAGTGTGGACAAGAGGCATGCGTGATGGACATCGCTGAATGTCACCGCTTGAGATGACAACTCTCCTAAGCTGTTACACGGCTTGATTGGCACGAGTGGATTGCGTCAGTTAGTGCGATATACTTTCTGTACACTGCCTTGACAGTCAATGTCGGATGCCGCCTTGAGGTTAAGAGATGTGTCAATTGTTGGATGCCGGTAAGTATGTCTATGTTCGAGAATGTGTTGAAGGATGAAGATATGTTGGAGTCACTGTGTTCTTCCCCGTGTTACTCTCTCCCGAGCACCATTTGATCTCGGCTTGAATTTTGATCCTAGAACTTCAGACCCCATGTTAGTGAAGCTAATCTTCTTTTGATTGATTATTACAGGAAGACTTGTCTCTTTTCTAATAAACAGGGACAATCAGTGACTTAAACCAGTGTGACGGAAGTATGTGTGACTCCTAGACATTGCCTAATACCCTAGCTAACCGAGACAGCAGTTTGTTGTCACCGTAGTTAAACACCAGTGGTGTGGTCCCATTGGGGATGGTGCTGCTTTTCCTTGTTTGAGATTAGAGACAGTCTTTGTGATGTGAGTTACATGTGTAGGATCGATATCTACACGGCATCTAGGTAGGTGTTGGATGGTGGAAAAATTGAGCGTGGCTGTGAGCCAGTTACATTTCTCCTGAAGATGTTCGCCTCAACGTTCTAGTTGTCTATCCTGACACCTAATTAAGGCGCCAGTTTTCTCGCAGATTGTCTCACTTGTGGTTTGCCTTTTTCATTTCTTCTGCTATTGTCGTCCACCATTGTTCGTGGTGGTTGCGTAAACTTCTTGAGTTGTCGTTTGAACAGCTTTGGCTACCGGTGATGTGTGGGGCTTTCCAGAATCAATGTTCTTGCTCAGTCAGTTGAGATGAAGTAACAGAAATCCACTGTGGTTTTGTAACCTTTGATTTTAGGTTTTGAAAATTAAGAATAATTTGTATGCTGTCGTAGTGGAAATTTGTAGTTGGACAAGGGTTTTATGAGATAATTTGTTTTGTGATTCAGTTTACAGGAAAGTCTGAAGGATGCTAGGGAGAAATTGAAATCTATGGATCACGTGAGTAAAGAAAATGAGAAACTGTTAGAGGAAAACAGTCGTCTGAAAGCCAAGGTATGTGATGCAGTTGCACAATGGTTATTTCATAAACTATATATTGGTGGTATTGTGTGATGTTGTACAGTTATTTGTAAACAGCGTAATGGTGGTGCCCAGTGGTTTGACATTTGCACGCATGATATGAGGAAGTAGAAGGAGAATGATGTATATCAAGCATTGTGATGTGTTGATTTTTGGATTGCTTATGTATTAAATCTAATACTTGAGAAAGACAGAGAAGAAGAGGAAGTTTGACGGGATGGCATTTTTTGAAAGTATTTTTCTAAGTTATTTAATTGAATTTTAGATTTTCCCGTCGATTGATTGGACCGAAGTGCTCGGTCTTAGGTTGACATGTCGGCTTCTTGTGCAGATGCTTCGACGATGTCTGGGTATGTAATTAGAATTTAATTGGTGGATGGTGACTAGCAGTGGAGTCCAGGATGTGCATTTCGTCCTATTTGGAACTTGTCAGCTGGATGTACCTGCACTCCCCAGTGAGTGATGATGTTCCCACCGAGACTCGAACTCAGTGCCCATAGTTTCAAAGGCCGTCCAATTTGGTTGGTTTTATGGTAGTGTTTTTGCAAGTTTGAAATGCAGACAGATTGTTGTGATAAAGTATGACATAAGTGTGAAGTTAAGAGAATAACTGACATTTGGAAGTTGGTGCAGTATACTTACTTCTGGTTATAAATTTTGTAGTTATAAGACTTTGTTGTACTGTTGTGTTGTGTACTGAGTTTTCTGATCGAGTTAAAATGATCACTTGCAGAATTGTTTGAGTTTCGATCAGTACTGATAATAACAGCTACCATCATATGCATTATTCCGTTTGCTAATAATATGACTGTGTTTACCGAGCTGTAGGATTTCATTTGTTTGTCTATATTCTTGTGTGTGCGAGTCATTATGAAGTGTTGGCGAATACACTAAGAGAACTTGAGTGGAAAATGATCTCACTATATCAAGTAGTTATAGTAGTAATAAGTCAGAATAACTAACTTTCCTGGAGGAAATTGTGATCACTATTCTTATTTTGCTCATGATGAACTATTTTTGTGTGTAGAGATTGACGCGTGGATGGAAGAAATTAGAATCATCAGGTATTCGTAAAGCTGGTTGGTGTATTACAAAGTATGATGCATATCAAAACTCTTACGTCTATTAACCCCTTGCCTTGAACGTCTTTATGGTGCACGTATTACTGAAGGATTCACAAATACATTCACTTATTGTTGTCGTTGTAATTTATGTTGCTATTATTAACGGTACAACTTGTTATATCGAGCCTGCGAAACTGTCTGGTTTTGAGTTGAGCTGAGTTGAGTTGAGTATAACTTTTGTTTTCCAAAAGATATTGGCCGATAAATTGTGTAAAGTATTTTATGTTTACTTAGCAAAGAGAATTTGAAAGTTATCGTCAACAAGCATCTTATCAACAGGAACTTGAACGTCAACTTTCGCAAATGAGGGTCGCTGCCCAACTTGCTGATAATGAGGTAGGTAGAGTTTGAAGTGTTTTTGTCGTAGGCATAATCTATTTTTTCCTTGATACTATTTCTCATTTTGATGATACGTAATTGTTTTCAAAATTGAAATGTGTTTGTTTAGTGGTTTGAATTGTCTAGTGGCAGAATTGTATTTGTGACTTATTGGTGCAGGTTTGTGTTCGTTTACACGTACTCTTTTACGTTAATGGATTATTTGAAATTGTCAGCAGGGTGTAAGAATAATGGGTGGGGTGAAAGTACTTATTTGAAAGAGAGTATCTAGTGTTATTGCAGATTGAGCACAGTGTCTACAGTCTACTTTTTGCCAAACTTTAACAGGAGAGAGGACTTCATTTCTCATGATGATGAATTAGTTAGTGTCAGTAAGTCATGATGGAGCTCGATTAGTTAGAATCACCTGAGCTAGTTGTTGTAGACACGAATAATAGCCAAGCTCCAAGATAGTTATGATTGAGTGTACTTCAAGGGGGGGGTATCCTTCTGTGAAGACAAATTGTCTGACAACTTGTAACACTATTGAATATTTTCAAGCAGTGTCACTTGAGTTGTGTAGGTAGTTAAGGTGGGTGCAGCTGACCAAGTTGAATGCATGATACCTTCTTTGTCTAACTAAACTAGTCAACTTCTTATCACTTTGGGGCTGTATTTTCGAAACAGTAAGTATATTGTTTCGTTTTCTACTACTACTGCTGATCTGAAAATCACTCATCGACTTAATCTGTCTACAAAGTATCATTTTGATTACATTCCTGTTTGTTTGTTGGTGGTGTGGTGTGTGGTGATTTGGACTGACATACTTATGTGCAAGTGTTTTGTGTTGACTACTCATCTATCTGTCTGTCTGTTTGTTTGTCTGTATGTTTGTATTATTTGTTAACGCCTTCAGTGAACAGCATGTCGTGTCATGTCATAGTTGGGAGTTGTTCTCTGTGTTTGAGCATTTTGTAGATGTTGAAGGGAACAGTTATTTCCATCACACGATTGGCTGACTGACTGACAGACTGTCGTTGTTTTGTTTCTTTATTTTTTTTTGCGAGGGGGTTGGGATAAACTCAGTGAAATGTAGGGGAGAATACACATTTGTCGACGCTTTATGTCACATTCATAAGATCGGATAAGGATGAAGTTTCGTTAAGAATATAAGGAGGAAGGAAGGAATCGTAGCATCGGTATTTGTTGTTGTGTGATAGAAATGTATAAAATCTGTGGAAGAGGGGCTAAGCTTTTTATCGATTAGTGTGAGAGAAGTGTTTCATGTGATTTTTGTGTGCTTCTTTGACATTACTGGCGTTAGGGATTTGCAAGCAAACCCTTACAGTGGAAGTTGCACTATCCACCTGATTGATAACTGTCTTTCGCAGTTTTCATAATAGTGGTGTTAGGCTACAAGGTTCATTTGGAAATTGGTCGTATGAGAGTTGGCCATGGGGATTGTTATGTTGGTACATATTTGAATTGTTTTTCTACCAAGTACTTCATATAATTGGTATTACTGGATAACATTTCATGCGTAACGTACCGTTCGTTGTCATATTGAATTAACTCCACAGGTATGATACACGGTTTTTGAGTGGAAGTGATGTTTTGCTTTGAATTGTGTTCTAGATACTGAGTGATTCTTAGGAATGAGTGGAAACTGCGAACGTGTTGCTTGAATGTCTATGGTAGACATTAGGCGACATATGCGATAAAATTGTGTTTTTGGAATGGGTGCGTGACTTATGAATGAATGTTATGATAGTTGTGTGCATAATAGTCAGGATAAAATGAAGGTCTACGGCTGAGGATTTTCGAGGGTCAGGTATTAGAAATAGTGATAAAGTTGATGTGTGTAGATACTTGTGTACACGTGGGCCGTGTGAACAAACTCGGTGTGGTCGACATTTAACTAGTCCGAAGATTCATTGTGAAAAGCATGTATTGTGATGCAGCATGGCAGGGGTGGAGAATGAAATATGGTTGTAGTATGCAGAAAAGTGTTGGTGGATTACAAGTTTTCAGCTAGGTTTTGACAGAAACATAATGGCACTTATTCAGCGAAGAATTGGTGGAAATTGAAGCAGCTATCGTGAGGGGTGTAGTGTAGTTGGCTTCCTTTTGTTTTCTGTTATTCGAAATAGATTAACAAGTGACAGTTTCAATGTGTTCACAATAGCCACTTGTTTCCGGTTGAATTCTTTTAGCACTTATAAGATTCTGTTGTTTTACTTCCTCGTAGTGTCTTCGTATGATTTTGTCTGGTAATTTATTTAAAGTGAATTGAGTGTTCTAGGATTTTCTACACTGTCCTCCTGTTTTGTCACTGAGTTGAAGCCAGCTGAAGCAGATACTTTCTAAATGGGCTTGCTTTAGAATTTCGGAGTGGTGTGTTCTACTCAGTGTGAGGAATCTTCTTTATGAGGTGGAGTGAGAACTAAGTAGTGTATTCGTGTGGGGAAGAGGAGGAGGTGGAGACACTTTCTAACAGCTTTAACTCTTACATACTAAAATCGCTTTCATCACACTATCGACATATAACTTTGGCGTAGTTTTGTGAATTGTTTGTCTGATGACTGCTTAGATTATTCCTAAACATGTTGTATTTACATTGTTGCAGTTACACGAATTGTTGTGTCAGCGTGAAGAACTTCTGGCGAGATGTGAAGCGGAGAAGTTAGCGAAGGAGAATTCTTTGATTCGCAACCGAGGGTGTGTTTCTGGAGCGCCTTCTGGTGAATCTTGTAGAGTGGAATTGCGGTGTTTTGGGATGAGTCCACCTTCTTCTCCAGACTCATCTCAGCCAGGAGTGGATACGCGAACTGAGGTTCCTGTGTCAAGTGAGTACTTTTTGTCTCTCTCTCTCTCTTTCTCCGTATTTGAAGCAGTTGTTTGTGACTTGTGATGAATGTCAGTAGCTGGTGAAACATATTGTAGTATAGTTTGAAGTGGATATGTGAGCACTCAGTTTCCAACTGACTGGTGACAGGGTGGAGTCTCGTTCCACCTGTTTGAAGCTGGACAGCTAACTGGGTAATATGACCAGCCATTGCGGTATGAATGTGGCTTTTAGTCTGTCTGGTACATGAAAGGTCTGTTCTGTGTAATTTGAGTTTGAAGACAACTGTTGAGTGCGTTCCTACTAGTAAGCGAGTTTCAAGCAGAGTGTATTTGGTGGAACATGTATGCATGTGCACAGAAATCCTGGTTTGAGCTTATCTAAAAGTGTGGGTTGTTTATTGTATATCTGCAAAGTTCTGACTGATTGATACGTGAAAGTTGCAGTGGGTTGGTGGGGGGGGATTGATTATCTCGTTTGTATGATATGTTTTGCATTTGTGAAGTATATTTTCTTATGAAGCAGTTATGGTTTCCTTCATAATGTGTGTCACTTTTGATGGAGTAAAGTGGGTGGGTATTCGTTGGGAAGTTAGAAAAATTGTATTCAAAGTGTCAGTGAAACAATGTTCGTATTTCTTTCTGTATTAGTTAATAAATGTTCATTGGTGAAGTGAGTTAGAGAATGTTGTTCAGCTGGAACAAGAAGCCTGTGTATTCTTGTTGATGGAAAAAGTGAAATGAGTCATGAATTGATTGATGAGTTTAGTGATTATGGATGTGGTTAATTTAGATTTAATCTGAAGAGGGAAGTTGATTATCGATGACATTAACTCAATAGTATTGGGGTGGACGTCGTGAGTGTGGATGTTATCGTATTAGTATTTATCTTGGAAGAGATTGTCACTTTATAAATGTGTATGCTTGCCGCTGCCGCTGCTTTTACCGGCACCGCCTACATGAGACATGATTTTCATGTTTCACTGAGTTTTCTCTTCGTGGCGAGAAAGGTTGATGATTAGTGATTTGGCTTCAATTTTGAAGAATAGACACCGCGTCAACTAACTTGCCCCGTGTATAAATATCTTATTGAAGGTAATGTTCAATCATCATTCGTGAGATTAGATTATTGCATATTTTAATTGTGTTTTGAAGCCTTGCATTATAATCCTTTGTGTCTCTCTGCATTGTTCTTTACTCACATACTAACTTACCTACTTGCTTACTTCTGATTGAAATAGGTGATTTGGGTTTTGGAGAGTGTTTAGCATCCGTTGTGATGGTCGATAATCAACTGAAAGGATTGGAGTCAGATGTCTTGAAAGCTGAAAGCGAATATCAAAGTATGAAGAAGAAGTTTATCCTGCAAAGATTCATCTCGTTAGTTCTTCTGGCTGTTGTAAGACATCGAGGCAGTGTTATCGACAATTCAAAGCAGTTAACTGAGGTAGATTTTATGTCCACCTTTTGTTTGTTTACTAATTTCTTATATTACTGATTTCAAATGTTTAGAGATGGTGTTTATGTTATTATCATGAAACACGGAAACAGTTTGATGATATATATATATATTAATTTGCATTATTCCAGAAACAGTACTAGTGGTACAGTGTGGAATTTTCAGCACATATCTACAATATTTGCATCTAATTTTATCAAACATTTAAAAGGAGTTTTCATCATGAGCTGACATTAGTTAGAGAGCCATTGGAAAACCTGGGAGTACTGGACAGCTGTTTCGTCCTAGTTTGGGACTCTTCATCAGTACGCACCCACCGGGATTCGAACCCAGGACCTTCTGGTTACAAGGCTAGCGAGCTCGTATACCATTAAGCCACTGGGACCCGATCCAATGGTCCATGAATTCTAACTTCTGCCAATTCACGACATAGCGCGACCCCTAGCCAATGTCTTCGGCGAGTATTTGTCCTCACGCCCGACCTGCTGCACCCTACTGGTCATGACTTCTCACTAAAACCCCAGGCAACTACCTACCTGAATAGGGCAACTCAATGAGATGCTCACTAGTGAGCTGAGAGATGTTAGGTTTCACAGGCGTAGAGCTCGTGTCACTCTTGCATTGATACCTGCCACTTACACAGCTCAAGCACGTAGCACACTTATAGGAATTGATTGCTACCTGATAATGTGTGATTTAAGCAGCCTTTATGTTATCTCAGAGTATGACGACATGACGATATCGTTTGTATACTCGAGGTGAAAAGGTCTTTCCCCATAACACAGATCTACACAACCACTACACACATCTTTCAGAGATGTCTCGAGAATGTCATCGATGGGGAAGTTGAAGGTAAGTGCAGAGATTTTGCAACCGTGTTGGTGGAGAACAGCATTGACAGTTAGTTGGTTGTATGCCATAACTCTACGTGAGCTGTTTCTGAATGGGGATTTCATTATGCTGATAGGCATCTGTGGAAGACTTCTCTGTGAGAGAGAATTCAAAAGAAGAGTTGAATTGTCTGGCGTGATGAGCTTGCAGAATATCAGCACCTGGGGTTCTTTAGGGATCTTCGCTTTGATTTGTTTGTGTGTATTGGATGGGTGTAGCTGATGAAGTTGGATGCTAGTGGTGTTGGTTAGCTAAACTGTTTGTGGAAATGGTCTTGTCAGCGTTCTAGGTGTCTTTTCAGTTTGTTAATCAGCGTCGGATGTGCCTCACAGAGTGTTTCGCTCAGCGTGCTTCTTACTGTGTGGGTGACTTGGATGAGGTGGAACAGTTTCCGCCTATTGTCAGATTGACCTGGTGATTGCATGTGACACGGACATTCTGACGAGTCGGGTACACAGTGCTTATGTAAGGCGCTTTGGATTTTAGGTGTGAGAGCCTTCCATATGGTGTTAATTTTGCTGTTTGGTAGAATGAACCGACGGGCGTTTAGTAGAGGCAGGGAACTCGTGTCAAGTGACTTAATTCGCTACTTTCATGAAGTCTTGTGGATGCAACTAGTGCTGACCTATGCTATTTATGTGGAGGGTTAGTAGGTTGCCCTGAGTTTCGCTCAGTTTTGGTACTTCTCAGAGGTGATATGATCAGAGTTGACGTATGTGAATGAGAAGGAACGTCAGTCGTGAATTCATGGCTGCGATCGGAAACTGATGACAATATGATCGATGTGAGGTAGGCTTGAGTAGCAGATAGATGATAGAGACCAGGCAACTTCAGGGTTGGGGAAGACGTTCCACATTATCTGAAGTGTTATCACGTAAACCCCAATGACCACGTGAACGACTCTTCTCCTAGCGTACACACCTAACCTTGTTGGTTGAAGTGCACAGCTGGCACTGCAGAGTGTTTCTCATGCGCCTGTTTGAGAAGCTGACTCAATTGCGATATGAGAAGTCGTCGTTGATTGCATCCTGGCTGAAATCCGTGTGTGCATAGGCAGAGATGACAAATAGGCATCGTTTCAGTTACTAATTGCTATTTACTCTGATGCAACTTCCTGACCGGACACCACATAAACCAACCACTGTTAATGGGAATGCAGTCGAGTAATGGAGCCTTGGTTATATGGCTTAATTGAACATCGACACCTGGTGGGGTGGATGCAAACGCCACAGGGTTGTGGGATAGACAGATGGAGATGTTATAGAACACAGACTTGCAAATGACAAAGAAATTCGAAGCACTTCACTGACCTGTGGAATACAGAAGACATGGATAGCAAGTAATCTGACCACAGGCGCCTGCTGTCCGATTTACATCATTGTGCGAAAATTGTAGGTGGCCAGCATGAACGGTATAAGCAGTTTCAGGATAACTGTGTTAGATATGTTACTGGAGTTGAGCATTCGAAAAGCAAGTAATCACCCTGTGGTAATTGTTGAGATAGGCTGAGATTTGAAAGATAGGGAAATGACTGGGGAATGTGAAGACTATAGAATTAACCTAGGTTGTAAAAATGAAAGGAAATGGTTTGTACATAGAAATAAAATAAAAAGGTAATAAGTAGTTGTGTTAAGTGATCATACCCGGAGCCTTTCATTTCAAGTGTGATCCGCAAAGCAGCGGAGTTGCGTCACCATTGTCAGTGGTAATGTTTTCTGTTTGTGGAGCCTACGTGCACGATAAGTTTTGGGATGAGAGTTTTCCAGCTTCCCTAGTTGGACCTGGTTGTCACCGAGTTTGGTAGAGAGCGCCAGACGTTGATACCGGGCGTGTGAAAGCAGTGAATAGTACTTGGCTGGTAGAGGCTGTGGACTGGTAGCCACACTGGAGGTTTAGAAGAGTGAGACCGAAGTGTATGCAGCCTCAACGATGCCAAGGGGTTTATGTGGGTGGAATCTAGGTGAGCGTGTTAAGCATTCAGTCACTGGAGTGGAATTCCCCGTTATCTGTTAATTTTAACTTCTGCCATATCGCAGGCTGTGATGTCGCAGCTCACGAGTGCCATCGATGAGTATGCGTCTGACACCGGAGATAGTGGACCGCATACACAATGACTTTTGATTAGATCAGCATGATATCCATTGTGAATCCACCAGTATTGAACAGTAGTAGTTGTCTGGTGAGCTTCTTGGTTTTCGATAATTCTCTAACTGATACCTTTACGTGACAAAGTCTACATTGAAGTCAATGGAAATGCCTAGAGAATGTGAATTGTGGATAGTTTTCTAGTTGGATTAGTAGAAGGTGTGTTGATGTGAGACTGATGATTGTGCTTTATGTAACTATGTAACTGTCATATCAACCATAATTGATGATAATTGTTAATTGAGTTGAATTGATGAATTTGTCTCGTTCGATTTGTGATTTGTACAGGGTTGTTTGAAATGTGGTTAATACTGTTACTTTTCATCAAGTGAATTTTATTGAATTTTTTAGCTTTTGAGCAATGAAATGAGTCGGCGAAATTCACAGATAAATGGAAGACTTGAAAAATTAAGTGAACAGGTATGATTGGATTGTATGATTAGTATGTGATGTCTTAATTTCTTCTCCTATTCCATATACAACATTGTTTCAATTTGATTGTTTACATATATATCTGCATGGGAATTTGATAATTTCGATATAAATAAGCATGTATTGAAGATTCAGTGAGTAGTGGTGGTTAGTTAGTGAAGATGAATAGTGTTGTTTTTCGTACAACACAACAGACAAATGACGAATCGAATCAATAATTGCTGCTTTCACTTACTAGTTTGTTTTCAACTAACTAACTGACTAGCTGACTAGTTGTGAGGCTTGTTGTATTTGTATGTTAGAAAGAGAGAGAGGGAGAGGGAGAGAGGATAACTTTCATACTGTGTCGTGTTATTCGTTTCTGTGGGACATTCTAGTGAAGATGTTACTCATTGAATTCGCCTTTGTATGCAATAATTAGGTAGGTAGGTAGGTGTTGGGTTGAGTTGTATTCGACTTTAGCACCTCGATATTATCGCCGTCATCATCATCATCACCGTGATCAGCACAGACGTTGGATATTTTTTATGAAGTGTATGATAGTAATGAAGAGTGAAGATATGTACATGTGATATTAGAGTTCGTTTGAAGTGAGTAATCTGAACGGCCACTTTCTCTTCTTTCTACTCAATTCAATAAATATCATAAAATAGGTTTCAAATGCAGAAGTGAGATTGAATGATACGAAGGAGGTGGTCTCAAAGATGCAGAAGAGACAAAGTGAATTATGTGGTGAGAACAGACGGTTAACCGGTGAATTGGGTAGAATCAAAGAGGCGAATGAGATGGCCCTACACAAATGGGAGAATGAAGTGGATTGTCTTATGGCGGAAAATCAGAAACTTAGTGCAGAGGTGAGTATGAATAATTCTCAGTTGATTTTGACTGTATGCTGACTATGATGCTGCATTAGTTTGTTTCTGATGAAGGATTAAGTTTGAAGTTGTCGAAGTGATGTAAAAGTTAATCGATGATTTCCGTTTACTGTGGTGGTCTTTTGAAATACTCAGTGAAATATAAATAATAGGTGATCGCTTATCATCTTATCAGGATTCTTGCAGATTGATCAGACTCACTGAGTGATTAGAAATGGATAATTGAGGAGTATAATTCATTTGCTTATTTGAAGACAAACAACTTTGTTGAGAGACGCTTGGGACAAAAGACAATCAAGGAAAACAATAAAAGGCTGTCCGCCAGAAGTCGTTCAGCTGCGTAGGTGATAGATACTAGAACTTATCGATTAACTTTAGAGGACCCCCTGAGTGGGTGCGTGGTGGGTGAAGTGAATGCATAGGTTCCTGTCGATGTTATAAGAATAACTTGTATTAGAGTGTGTAGCATATTCGAGGTGATGTACGCCTATTTAGTTGCCCTGCATGTTGACTGGGTGTGTGTGAATACACGGTGTTTGGTGTCAACTTCTCTGACTGACAGACTGATGGACTGGCTAGTAATTGGAATGAAGGTAACAGCTGTTGTTTGGGCGTTTCAAAGTGTGGAAGACTGATTTGTCTGATACTTTGAAATAAATTATGAATGAAGATTTGTTTGAAGGTGCTTTCATGTAGCTGTCTGTGTGTGGTAGTAGAGATATTGATTTTTCAGATGTGCATTGAAGAGAAATCTGTAAGTGTTGCTATGAGGAGGATTCAAGTGAGTGACTTGATTAGTTGTCGTTAAGGGGAAATATTATTTTATTGAGGGATTACCGACTGATTACCTTTTCAATGTACCTCTACGGTAAAGTTTATCATATGTACAAAGACGATGACTTCGTGTGTTTTCAGATTTAAATGAATGGCAATTATTTTGTTTAGGTGACATCTCTGCGTTGTCATCTTGGCGATAATAAAGTGAAGATGGATGAAGATTTGAAGAGAATCGATGAGGCTGCCAGTGAAGTAGAGCGGTTGAATTTAAAACTTAGTGATCTCGAAAGGGTGTATAGTGAGTCGAAAGCTGTGAATCATAATCTACGCGTGCAACTGAGTGAGCAAGTTAATGCGAATAAAGCATTTAGATCAGCTGCTGAAGAAGAGGTGAGTTCTTGTGAAATAGAAGTGTGTATCTGCTTGACGAACAATGTTTTCATGAGGTTTTTCTTTGAGTGAGAGCAATTTGGTTCTGGTGATAGTCGATTGTAGCCTTTACGACGAGGCGAAGATATGAAGACTTGACTTTGATGTTGATTTTCCAGGTTTATTGAATGGAGAAAGAAATGATTGTGTGTGACTGTCAATCAGTGACTGGATTGATTGTTGAATGAAGCGAGTTGACTAATGTAATTGACCACCGACATGATCTCATTTTCAAAGGAATACAGAGAATGCTTGTTGTTTTTTGTGAATATGTCTAGTGTGAATTAAACAAAAAGTATTGAGTTCGCGAAGATTCTTGTGAAGTCGTACGTGTATGTTTGTCTAGCTACGATAGCTAGGTGGCAGTGAAATCTGGCGAAGAAGTTTGATTTGTTGTGGAAATCAGTAGGAAGATGTGCTTAATACTTTAGTGAAGTGTTGCGAATAAGTCACGTTGAATAATGACTACTTGAATATGAAATGTTTATGCACTGCGTTGGAGGGGGTTATGCACTGAGTTCCTGTGGAGTGGATTTTGGTTGTCACTGTTTTCTCTATTGTATTGAGTGTAGTGTTACTTAGTTTGGATGCATGTAAATTGAGTTGCTGACTTCCTGGGATAATTGACAATGAATGAATGCATTTTGGTGTTGTCGCCGCTTTAACATTTTTGTGACTTTATCAATATTATAATTTTTTTGATTGTATCTTGATTCCACTCTTAATTTTTCCATGTGATTTCGTGGCCAAATTTCCTATTGTAACATATGGAAAGTCAAAACAAGTGATTCAGCGAAGAGGCTCTTTTCAACCAATGTATTATGAAGCTGTACAATAGTATATGGTATATGGTTTATATATACGATTGTACAGCGTGATAATAAATTCGTTGAAAAGAGTCTTCGGTGAATTGCTTGTTTTGATTTTCTATAATCCCTTAGACGGCGAGTGGAATATAGGGCTTCAACAGGACATCTTGATTTCATCCTGTCCTCTGGAATCGTCTTTAGCCACACGATTGGTCATGAACTTTCGTTGTGTGTTCGAGCCGTCTTCATTATCTTCGACATACTTCTCGGGCACCAGGTTGTTGATTGGTTCGCTGTCTGCCAGAGTTCCTTGTTGCATATCCCTTCTGGCCATCTGATATTCAGTATGACACCACTGAAGGCAGTTGTTAATTCAATAATGTCAAGTGTGTGTGTGTGGCCAGCTAAAGTTGACTGGGTTGTGCAAGATGAAAAGAGGGTAGTGTGGAGAGTCAACTTCCATTCCACCTGTTCTCATAGATTCCTATCTCCTCTATGTTATATCTTCTCATTTGTTTTGTAATCTGACCGATATTCCTACCTTCGAATATCGTGCTAACATTCCATGCTTGTTTTTGCTTGTATCTTAGGAAGACACATCGAGTAACTGACTGACTTCCAGGAGGCTTTCACCATCTGATGTCATTCTGTTGCTCGATTTCCGTGGTAGAATGAGTGTGTTTTCAAAATGTATTTTGTGTGTGTTGGTGTTTGTGTGTGAATCCGGTTTGTTTTCCGAGATGGGGTCGGTAGTCCCACGACCAATCTTCTCTCTTTTCTGGAGGCGTAGGACCTACTAATAAACGAAGGGAGGTTCTAGTATTGGTTTTTGAAATATATTTTCGTTTGTACTTGTCAAGGTACATATCTGTTCACATATCTAATCAATATCCACATGCTCGCCCATTTTAATTATTCATTTTGTCATTTTATTGTTTAACACGGCATACTATTTTCATCACATAAACTTTTTTCCAGATAGAACGATTGAAAAACACTCTGGCTACTTCTGCTTCAGAATATGAATCTGTTGTCAGTATTATGACGGATGAACATCGTCGAGAGAAAGATAAACTGTTATCAGACATTAAAGTTGCGGAAGATTCGAAGGAGATGGGTCTGCGAGAGGCAGGTCGACTAAAAGTTCTTTTGGAAGATACGGAGAATGAGCTGAGGAATGAAAAGGAGAAGGGAATTCAAGCGTCAACTTTATCACGTGCTTTTAAAAATGAGGTGGCCGAGTTACGATGCGATCTGTCTAAAACACGAGAAAATTTGTTAGAGGTTGAAGAGCGCTTGAAAAGTAGCAATGTGTTAGTCGATCGTTTACAGGCGACGAATAAAGATTTGACAGTTCAACTGTCAGCTACTGAGAATTCCTGTTCAATGAAGGAGAAAGAAATCTGCAGACTGGTAACTCAAATCGTTGAGCTGGAATGTGAGAATAAGCGAAGTAGTGAAAAGATCGGTGAACTTGAATGTTTTGTTGAGTCAGCGACAGGTGTGCATAAGGATCTGGAACATCAGTGTGGAGTGTTTCGGAAGCAGGTGAGTGAAATGGAAGCTGCCTGCTTGTCTACTCGTCAACAGCTGACTGAGACGAGAGAGCAACTGATTAAAACGGAGGAATTGTTGCATATGCATAGATTGCGTCTTTTACGTGCAGAGTTTGAGAGGAATGAATTGCGTACACGTTTAGAATTGATTGGGAGGAAAAGTGAAGTTGGTAAGTATCGACTTGTGTTGTGCTGTTTAATTGTGTGTTGTGAATTATCAGTCTTTGATATTAATCACTTAGTGAGTAGAAAATTTGAGAGTGTAGATGTTGATTTTGTGAAGAGGACTTTCCAAAGTTCACAGGGTATGTAGACTGACTAGTTTGATTTGTGTGCATGTTTTAAATTGTTGATGTGTATAGACTGTAGAGGTAGGTAGGTGGCTGTGTATGACATATCTCAGCTTATCCTCAAACTATGTTTGTTGTAAAGTTTCTGTATTTGGAACTGTGGAGACATGTATGTTATGGTAGGACTTATTTGTACATCATGCCTATGATATTGTAGGTGGTGCCATGTTTGCACACTCCTTGACTGTAACGTCGTATGTAAAATTGAATTCCTAAGGTGGGTTGGAATAGATTCACGTGCATCAGTTTTGAGGAATGCGTAACTACAGTCATGTATGGTAATAGATACAAGTTGACATTGTGATATATTGTCTTTTGCATATACTAGTTTGCATGTCGTGTTTGTCCTGTTTCAGGTCGTCGAAGCATCCGATCAAACTCGGATGTTGGCAGCGGTTTATCAAGAGTATGCTGTCGTGGAGGTGTCGAAGCGAAACCGAATCAGGATTCGAAATCGGTATGTGAAAGTTTGCTGAACCTGGTTGACAAGGATGTTGTATTAAAGGAAGGCGAGGAAAGAAGTGTAGTGGGTGACGAAATGTCTACAACTAATAAAGCCATTAAGAAAAGAACTTGTGACGTTTCTGTTCAAATCTGTGATCCGTACATTCACATGAAATGTGTTCATCAAACGGTATGTGGTGATTGTTGTATATAATGTTCACTTATCATTTTAATTGTGATTGCGATAATATCTGGGATAATTTTATGCGTTAAAATTAGTGTTGAAATTTGTTTTAACTTCGATTGTTGTTTATGTTTGGTACATACATCATTTGTATAATTGCAAACTTTGAAAGAATCCCAGTACTGACTAACTAACTATTAATTGGTGTGTAAAATGTCAGACTTTATGTCATCATCATCGTGATCGTCGTCGGCATCTTTACGAAGCAGTGAGTTAAGTGTATTGGATACGCATCCGTCCATCCATCGATCCATCCTCACTGTTAATAAGATTGTCTTTTGAGGACTACCAGTGTGAAATATTCTTGAATTTAATTAGTATGCGAATTCAATTGCTTGGTAGGTTTTTGATTATTCGTATGTGTGTGTGTTTCAAGGTGCCCCCAGGTCAGCGATCGAAATGAGTTGGAGGTGCACTGAAAGGCGAACAGTACAAGACAACTATTTCGTTGTGTTGTAGAACTGTGGAACAGTGTGGTGTATGTAGATGACTGTGTGTGAGTGTGCGTTGATTTTTGGAGTTCTAGCTGCTGGATGTGCAGCAGCCTCCTGTATATCTACAAAATCGCATCATTGACTTCTAGTTTATCTGGTGGATACGGATGCCGCACTGAGTCTGATGAATGATGTCTGCAATGTACATCGTATTGTGAAAGCGATTTAAATTAGCCGCAGAGGACTTGGATTTCTTTTTGGTGGACTTGCTACAAGACACAAGGCAAGGGAGGAGGTGTATCGTTGATTTGGAGTACTCAGACACTGGCAAAATGCGAAGTCCTCTAATCACCCTGAGCAGACGTGTCAGTGTATGTTTTGGAAGTGATTGTTTACTGTGGAATGTGTAACAATAGTGTTGTGTCATTTGAGTGAGCCTATTGGTAGTTTATGCATAGAGAGTGTATAGGCTGGATGTGTTGTTGACCGACCACTGACTGACTTATTTGAGGAGTTGCATCCAGCCAGATCAGTGGACTGGTTACCAACGAGATCTCGGGACATAAAGAAATGGCTTGTTTTGTCATTTCGCATGTTGTATGATGGTGTGCGCTTGCAATATTCAGCTATCTATTGACCTATCGTAGGTGACATAATATGCATGATGAGTTATCATGAGGTAAATATATAGTGTGAGAAAGCAGCCGATGGGATTGTGAAACTTCCCCTGTTGTGATGGTTATATTGTATTCTAAGCCACGACTTTTGACGAGCAATGTTCACTGAAATGGGATCAGGTTGAAAAGGTGTCACTGAGACAAGAACATGGTAGCAGTATATGCGGTTATTGACCGTTGTTCTTGGTCTTTTGTGACTGGTATCCTCGAGATGCTGAGCTGTGTTGATGCCTTTTCTTGCAGATCATATAAGTGTAGAGATTTACTCATCTACGCAATCTCTCTGGTATATATCCTACCCGTTGGTGTTTCATTGTGTAGTGTATTTCGAAGTTTTTGTGATCTTTTCTAAAATGTGAAAAGCTGAAGTGATGCAATTTTGTGTAGAGGTGTGAGCTTTCAATGAGAAATAATTAATGGTGAAACCGTCTAAATTGTTTACGTAAGAGATGGCCTTCTCCTTTTAACTGACGTGTGTCTTATGTCTGTGTGTTGTTATAAGTTGATCGTATCACTAGGAATAATGGTGTTTGTCGAATTTTAGAATGGCCTTCCTTCGTAAAGACGATGGGTGCCGTTAATCGAGAAACATTGGGAAACAGTGCGAGCTATATAATGTCACGTTCTGGGAATCATCATTTTCGTTCAGTTCCTCCTCCTGATGGAGAAGAAGAGAAACAGTTGAAAATAATCACTCTTGAAGGAGCCGGAGATCATCAATATCAGGCGGATCCGAACTCTGGAAGTACAGATAATGTGGGTAAGTTGTAAATTATATGTGATCGTGATTAAGTTCTGTGTTCATTGGTACAGAAATTTACCATTTTCTTGCTAAGGATTTATTGACCACTGTATAACCACTAATCCTCATCAAATCTTCCACACACTTGAAGTGAATGTCTTGGTGTCCGATGTTGGTAGAATGGCGTCCTCCATCTTCGAAACGGAGTTAATATTTCTTTGATTGGATCGAATTGCTGGGTCTCAGAAAGAAAGCACATATACTAATTAGCACGAAAGAATTAAGGTGCGGTTTTCATGTGTCTGTGAAGTATGAAGCCTGGTTCTTAGATATGACTATCAAAGAACGTTTACTGCCACAGACTGGCTGGACTTATTCGTGTTGAGGCCGAAAGCCGTTATTGAATGTTGGAAATTGGAGCCAAACACTGATTTTGTTTCGGTAAGTGATTCTGATACAGCAGGAGCGGCAGAACTGCCGACTGTTCTCTAGTACCAATGTTTAGTGCCGAATAGTAAGGCCTGTCGGTGAAATAATGGGATTTATATTGATTGAAGTAAGCAGAAATTGGATTTATTGCAACGATGAGATGGAACCGTGATTGGAATTCACGAGTCATCCATACCTACTGGTTGGGAGCTAAATGAGTAAGCTTAGATTTGGTCACTCACTGCTCAAGTTATCTTGCCTCACTGTTTGTTGTCATTGTTGGTTGTCACCGTGATAGGGGACAGTCATATTGCACTGCACCCATTATTATCATCGTAGTAAAGCTGTCTTACGATTATTATTATTATTATTTTGCTGTTGCTTTTGTTCCAGAAGGTACGGAATTATTCGAGTTAAATTCTGCACGCAGATCAGTCGGAGAGGTGATAAGACGACAGGCAGACTCAGAAGTATGTTTATCACAAATTGTGTACAGATGTTGGTTTCATTTGAATGCGCTCATACATTTATGATATTACTGCTGGCGAGGAATGTAAACTAGAGTTAGTTATTCCATGAGATAAATGCTGTTAGCTGCACTACATTGTGGGATATCGTGTAGATTCTGTCAACCGAAGTGATGTGATGGACCTCTAGTTGTTAGGGGTGGGGATGTGAATTACATAGATGATTCATTTTTACAGAATCCAGTTTACTTCGTGAATGAATCAGTGGGTTTGACAGCGGATAGATAGAAAGATGATCATAGTGAAAGCTGAAGACGCAAACGGGTCAGTGAAACAACAATTCATTAGAAAACCGTCTAATTAAAGTCTAATTGATAATGAATGATCTCATTGACGAATAATCACCTAAATCGACTTGGCATCTAAAGAAGACATTAATTGATATAACAGCTATCAGTCAAGTTCCATTGATGGTGGATGAGACTGGCTTCGTTGTAAAACACATCAAGGTAAAGTAAGACGCGATGATGGTTCATGTTGTGAGGTACTCTGGCGATGCTTGGCTGTCAAGAGAATGCCGAGAAAATACATTGCACTGATTAAGGCACTCTACTCGTACTCATGCAGCCAGGTGATGGCTTATGGCGAGTTGTCATCTGAAGTGGTGACGACTAGTGGCGCCCGTCAAGGATGCCCATTATCCCCATTCCTATTTAACTTCATCATAGACGTACTAATGGACTTAACCCTAACACACTTCAGCGACTCATGGATTGACTTGCTACCAGGGAATAATCTCGTCGACTTAGAATATGCGGACGATCTAGTCCTTCTAGGCGAGGACGGTGACAAAATGCAGAGTCTACTAAACACTTTGAGCAACAATCTTCGTATGTTTGGCATGCGATTCGCCCCTGTAAAATGTAAGATGATGCTGCAGGATTGGACTACACCGACTCCTAGATTAGAAATAGGAAGTGAAGTGGTAGAGCACGTTGACCGCTTCACTTACTTGGGAAGTTGTATCAGCCCTAACGGGTTGATCTCCGATGAAATCTCAGCACGAATACAGAGGGCTAGTTTCGCACATGCCAGTTTACGCCGTCTCTGGCGTAGACGTGATATACGGCTGGCTGTCGACCAAAGGGCGTGTGTACTGCTCAACAGTCCGCTCCGTCCTCCTTTATGGCTAGCTGTGAGACCTGGCCATTGAGAGCAGAAGACATGAAAAGATTAGCTGTGTTCGATCATAGGTGTCTGCGTTCTATCTCCCGCGTGAAGTGGTATGATAAGGTGAGCAATATTGAGGTTAGGCGTCGAGTGCTAGGTAAGGCGGGGAAATCAGTCGATGAGACTGTGAAATTACATCGACTGAGATGGTTAGGACATGTGCTACGTACGCATGCCTAGTCATCGCCTTTCTCGACGGGCAATGTTAGCTGATATAGGGCCAGGCTGGAAAAGAGCTAGTGGCGGTCAAACGAAAACATGGCACCAGTCAATGAAATCCACAACAGTTAGTTCAAGGCACCACGTAGGAAGGTGTAGACTTTCTGACTAGTTGGGGTCCTCGGGACGGTAAAAACCAATGGTTGGAAACAATTGGTGACATGGCTCAAATTCATCGTTCTCAGTGGCGCAGATGCATCCACTCCTTGTGACTCATGATTTCCAATGAAACTGTTTTGTTCTCCGTTATTACTATTCCTTTGCCTCACACCTCTGTTTACTGACTATATTATGCATTTCTCCTACTTTCTTCTCTTGCTTTGTGTGCTACATGGAGTGTGGCGACTTGAACTGCGGCACATATGTGCAAAGTTCTATGTCGAAAACCGACCGACCTGATGTTGTGAAGATGTTTAAATATAGTGGTGATAAATAAAGGACTAGATTACATAAATCTACGAGTTGAAGCATCATCTTCGGTGCTCCTGTTAGACATACAGAGAGAGAGAGAGAGATAGCGACTGAGTTGATCATCTCAATATTCCGTAAGGATAAGTTTCCTTGTAATAGTAATATCTGAGATGCTAAAGATCATGTGGCTACGTAGTAATTAATAAGGAAAGGGAAGACAGAAGTCAACACATATGAAGAGAACTGTCACCACGGGATAAGGTAACGTTAACGACACAGAGTAGTGTCTGCCTGCGAAAAATAATGTTCATCGTTACTAGTGTTACTGATGATAGCGATTTCATTATAGGTGTATTCGTACATGTATGTGGTGTTTAAAAATGTAAATGCAGAGAGACTACTGAACATCCTGCTACGAATGCTGAATATGTTTGGCGTGTGGTTGGCTCTTTTCACGTTTGGTCTCAAACAACTCCTAATTGATGAATGGATAAGTAGGAAAATGATTGAGGGCATAGACCACTTCATTCATTTCGGAACATGAACGCGGTGGCAATCCTTGGAGTTATTGGTGTTAATCTTAGTGGGGAAGTTTAGACTTCTGTGTGTAGGATCCTGAAGGGGAGTTATGCTGTTGGAGACTTTATCATAAAGTGTCAGTAGTAGCTAAGATGACGTGGTATATCCTTTTGGATCCTGGAATCACTGGAGTACACCTTACTTAATATACTTGTAAACAACGGATACAAGGAAGTGCGGTAATCTTTCTGTGCTTTGAAAGACTTATCCTTCAATTTTTCCGGTTTAATTCACCTAACTTCAATCCTTGGTCACTTAGGCAGTCACGTAACTGTTAGAATTGAGTTTCAGAATGCATAACTTGTGTGATAGATACTCTATGTTCTTCCTGTGTTTAAGACGTAGGAATTAAAATCAGGTATAGTGGATTCACTTTATTTCCTTTGTAAATCATGAATTATACTGACCATCGAGTTTACAGTTAGTGAAGCGACTTGTTTTACGGTGTTACTGAAATAATAAATGTTTCTATATTTACTGATTATTTGCAGAGTATCTGTTCACAAACCGCTTCTTCACTCGAATTACCGTGTATACCAGAAACCCCGGAATATCTGTTGAATTCGGTCACTATCTCCCGCAGTCACAGCGCTCATGAGTTAGCCACAGTTCCTCTCAAAATAAGATCTGGGAAGAATTCATCTCTTGCTCATTCCGCGACCACTTCCTTCTTGTCACGTAATCCTGTTCCAATGATTGACAAGAGGACTGACCACAGACATAAAACCTCCGTGGCTAAACGATTACATATGCGTTTGAAACATGCTGTGTCTCATGATTCAGACATGAAGGTTGCTCGCTTCGTAGAAGCCTATCCAGCAGTGAAGGATACTTCAAGGGACGCAGTTTTGAGCGGTGAGAAATCTGAGAAGTCTGTATGGCGCAAAGTATGGACAAGGAAGAAAAAGTGAAATACGAAATTTGGATTTTATTCTACTGCACACATTTTATTTGTACAGTTTATTACAAGTTTACATTACTCATTTCTTCACTTGCTAAATTTGCAGTTAGTTAGTCTTTTTCATATTGTATACTTTCATCTCGTTGATAACTCCAAGATGGAAGTGAGGATGAATCAAATGTCCCAGGGTTGTTGAGTGCTGTTTTTGCCTGCTCCATTGTAACTGCACATGATCTTTCCTTGTACACATCGATCATTTCATACATGCTATTCTTCTGACTCTGAAAGTGAATTTGGTACATGTTAATTTGCATAATAAAAGGAGATTATGAACGACAACTGATATTTTTTTTACCAAAAACCACTTCTAGAGGACTTGTGAGAAATCAGAGTACAAATCGAACGGCTGTTTGTGTTGCACTGTTAAGTTTAGTTTATTGTGAGTATTTTGGAACTGATGTTGTGTTGCTTTCCGATTTATTCTTATTCTTTGACTCTTGAACGACGAACGTGACTTTCAGAGGACGCTTGCATAAGATATCTTATTCTGGTGACAGTAGTACCTAATGATCAGGACTACGTATATGTGTACATTTCCCCTCCTTAATATTCATACAGAATAATAAAGTATTGAAAATTTGCGAATATTAGTTTTTGATAATCAATTGGGGTGGACAGGATTTTTGTGTGATATCGGTATCTATTAATTGGAATAATTTTTGCATAGGATAGTGCCTAAATTCAATGACTCTCAACATTCCTGTCCCACTACTACACGCACGAATGATTACACCGATGTTTGTGAAGCTCATAATGTACGCCTTAGCTGACTTTGTGTTTCTGCGATTTAGTTGTCAATTAAGCTTGCAGTTTTGATGGTTACTAGTCTTTTAAGAAGATCAACTACCATGTAATTCTTAGAAATGTATAATCCCGGAACAACGCCACATCTTTAAATTCTTTACTGTATTATTTCGTCTTAAATTGACTTACATACAACACTGAGATACTTCGTTAGATAAATCTGTGTAATATGCAAATGAGTAAATAAATACCTTGGCAACAAAAATGAAGGGTATTCCGAGACGACTGAGGTCGACGACCTTCCTACCCAAACTGATTCCCATCCGATCATCCACGAGAATATCACCGGGCATTTGCAACATATTTGTAGGATGACATTGAACAGTATCCAGAATAGTCTCCTGTTCGTGTATATTGAGCGCATCTTTGGCGGTTTCCTTAAAATAAAAAGAAAGAATATTCATTTATCTAGGGAGCATTGTCTCAACTACAGAAGGAACGGATGAGGATGTCAAATCGAGAATCGGGAAGGCGAGAAACACATTCATCAACCTGAAACCAATCTGGAAATCTTCGTCACTCAGCATCAACAACAAAATTCGGATTTTCAATACAAACGTCAAGTCAATCAGTTCTTCTATACGGATCAGAAACTTGGCGGCGGGTCACAAAGAATATTTCCAACAGCCTGTTGCAGACCTTTATCAACAACTAACTGTCTTCGCTCTATACTGAAGATCAGATGGCCGGAAAGAATCACCAACAAGAAACTATGGGAACAAACAAAACAAGAACCAATCGCCCAACAAATATGCAGGAGAAAGTGGAGATGGATTGGACACTCGCTGAGGAGGCCGCTGGGTGACATCGCGCGTCAGGCCTATGCTCGAGTGGAACCCGAAAGGGAAGTGGAGAGTGGGACGTCCAAGGGTGACATGGAGGAGATCGTGTGAAGAGGAGCTGAAACAGTATGGATTAACATGGGTGCAGGTGAAAAGTACAGCAGAAGACAGAAACAAGTGGAGACGTGCAGTTGAAGCCCTATGTTCCACTAGGAACCCAAGGGAACAATAAAAATAATAATAATTGTAGAAGAGCAGTAGAAAATCTCACACAAAAATTCTCTTCTGTAAATTTGAAGAGAGGAGGCGAAAACATTGGTGCAGAGTAACATGGATAAATTTCGAATGACTTTGGTTGGAACTGTTAAGTTTAGTTTATTATGACTATTTTGGAGCTGATGTTTTTGTTGCTTTCTGATTTATTCTTCTTCTTTGACTCTTGAGCGACGGATGTAGCTTTCAGACAACGCTTGTTCATCACGACAGACAGACTTTATGACAGTACAACAATCAATATGACCTGACCTTGGTGTTAGTAATACACACAGACATGTGACAGTTCACCATTCAGTATGATCTGACCTGTCTCTCGTGATTACTGTTTAATTTAGTGTAAACGCCCACCACTGATGGATGAAGGTTGTATTCTGTCTTTTGTATGTATGTAAAGTAGTTTGCTAGTCATTTCGCTCCACACGTGATTACTGCTCGGTACGTGTTTATCCTTCTTTGAATGACAGTTTCCCTTGTGTTGTTTTATTCATGTAATTGTTTTATTAGCTTTATATTTTAGAAAGAGATAAAGTTTTATGTTGATTAACCTGAGATTTAAGTTTAGCGAGGCCCAGACTCTGTATCGTCAGTATTGATAGTGAGGACAAAATCTGTAGGCGAAATTAATCCTATAAAGTTTCGAACAGTCTGTAGTGAGATGAAAAGTCCGATTTAATTCCTCATCTATCTCGACAGTCAGGAAAGAGTAACGAAGCGCATATAACTAGAATTAATGATCATGAATTTGAGTTAGGAAGGTTACGCCAGGCATGTGGTGAATGCTTCGGTCACCAGAAGTCGCACAACACTCACAAATCGGGGGAGATAGTTAAGTTTGGTGACATTCCTCTAAATTATTGGAATTTCATAAAAAATGTTGAAGACAACGATACTATCGGCTTTTGGGCCAAGTTGATTTACTTGATTCAGTATTGTTAGTGTGAGGCAAAGGATGTAATCAAGCATTGTGTTTTGTTGGAGCCCAAAGAAGGATATTCTAAAACCTCAGAGTTATTATAAGAAGTATTCGGGCCAAAGTATGTCCTGGCCCGGACCTTCATCGATAACCTTTAAATTTCTCAACGTGTAGCTCTTTTCAGAAAGATCCGTCGCGAGATGACGTTTCGGAAAATGAATTATGCTTCAGATTTAGATTCTGGCAGGACCATTGAAAACCTAGTTCTGAAATCGCCTGCACATTCTCAGAGAGAATAGGTCAGAGTTGCTTGCAATATCATAAAGAGTGGCCGCGAACCATCGTTTAGTGACTGAAGCTTGTTCGTCAAGGAACAGTCAAATATCGCTAACACTAGATATGGACTGCTGATTAGCGGTTGTTCCATCGGAAGAAACAACAAGGAGATTAGGATTCCTACGAAGAAAAATTCTCGTCCTGACTACAGATACCCATCGTTCTCTACCCAGCTTTCAGATAATAATGTTGAGAACCGGAATAACGGTCCTGAGAAGCAGACCCGTACATTCACTCCACTTTGTGTAATATGTTCAGGAGAATAGTTATTTTGATCAATGCCCGCAGTTTAAAAGTAAAGACCTCAATGAACATTTAGACTTCGTTTTCAAGAGAGAACTATGTAATGTCTGTTGAAAGACTAACCATGTAGCAAAGAATTGCCGCTCTTCAAGATCTTGTACGGTTGATGGTTGTGGTTGGAGACACCACACATTGCTGCACAGAAGGCAAGTATTATAGGACGACACAAAATATGATGTGCATATCCACTTCCAACAATGTACTGATATGAATTTGAGCAAGTGAAGTAGACTTTGCTATAGTATCAGATGTAGCTAGATATAACGGTAAAATTGTTCAGACATGCGCCTTTTTAGATAGTGGGTCAGATGCAACACTTGTTGCAGAGGATCTAGCAAAAGAATTGGGTGTAGAAGGAACAACCAAGAGAATTTCTTTGAAGACACTGAGTTAACAATCCACTTTATCATGCAGGCAGGTGCAAGTGAAAATTTCTCCGCTAGATTCCTCTGCTCGGCTTACTGTGTCTAAAGCATGGACAGTAAAAAAATTACCCAAGTTGCGAAGAGTTGTGCCAACAATAGATCAGGTATCATCATGCATACACTTACATGGCGTTATCTGTTATCAATCTCTCCCTCCATCCTGTGACATTAGATTTCAAAACTGTCATCCTATCCCATCCTATTGTATGGTTGTAGGTAACTGCATGTAGTGCTGATGTATAGTTGAACTATTCTCTAGATTTCTTATCTTATTCAGGTCAACCAACCTAGAGTTTGCTAGGCTTTTATGCTGCTCCACTAGTCTGACTGCACCTGTTCTACTACTTTGACTTATGTACATGACGTGACAATCATTCTGGCAGTGTATTAGATGAACTGAATTGTTCTGTTTTAAAGGCTCCACAGAATCCTTCAACCGACAGACCTTGTTTCTAATTGAGTTTGTGGGTTTGAATGCCACTTTTATTCCTGCCTTGTTAAGAATTCTGCGTGAGGTTTCCGAGGTTCCCTCCTTGTATGGAATTACTACTGTTGATTTAGATTCCTTATTGTTGGTGTTGTCTTGCGCATGTTTGACATGCATGTCGTCGTTAATATTACTATTATTATAAATATTATTATCATTATCACTATCACTACTATCATCATTTATTTTTACATTTCCCTACATACTTTCTGACTAATTTATCAGGGTAATTATTAAGTTTCAAGGCATCTCTTATATGTCTCACTTCCTGTCTTAGATTTTCCTTGGTACTACTTAGTTTTTGTGCTCTGTCACTTAAACATTTCACCAATCCTATTTTTACTGACATAGGATGGGATGATCGGAAATCCAAATATCTGTTTGAATGTGTGGGTTTCCTGTAAACACTAGTGTTTAACTTCCCATCTTCTTTCCTTTTTACGCTGCAATCTAACATTGGAAGTTCCCCTTCCTGACTTTCTAATTAATAAGTGAATTGGATTGCCTCCACCTTTGAGTTATAATTTGTTCGAAAAATCTACCTATATCCTGTGTTCTAAGTACAGTGAATGTGTCATCTACATACCTCCACCATACTTTCGGGGTGGTGGTGAACGTTTCAAT